CTGTTGTTATTTGTACCTCCCTGCATTTGTTTTAATCTTGTATTTACGTTTCGACCCTAGAGTGGTTAAACCGATGGAAAATACGCGTAGAGGACGAGGCCAGGGGCGCGGCCGTAAGCAACCCTCGATTGGAGGGGAAAATCGAGAACCAATGCTTGAACCTAACCCTGAACCTAGAATAGATCCTAATATTCAGGTAGCTGCCGCCATCCAGCGTATGACTGACTTATTGGCCCATGTAGTGGAACATCAGGGTCAAAATCCTGTTAATCAGCCGGGCAACCCTGGTAATCATATAGAGGGTGAGGATAGAGCCCTCGAACGATTTCAGAAGTTCTCCCCACCGAAATTTCTTGGAGGACCAGACCCCGACGTGGCCGAGAGATGGTTAGAGAAGATGATTGATATATTTGTCGCGTTACATTATACCGAGGAGCGACAGGTTACATTTGCTGTCTTCCAACTAGAGGGAGCAGCCCGTTCTTGGTGGAATATCATAAGGTTGAAGTGGGAAAGAGAGCAAACCCCAAGGACGTGGGTGAATTTCATGAGAGAGTTTAACACGAAATATTTTCCACCTTTGATCCAAGAAAAGAAAGAAGATGAATTCATTAGGCTGCGTCAGGGAACTCAAACCGTCGCCGAATATGAAAGCCAGTTCACCAGATTGTCTAAGTTCGCTCCCGAACTAATCGTCACTGAGCAGAGGCGGATAAGGCGTTTTGTTCAAGGATTAAACGTTGAGATTCAGAAGGACTTGGCCGTGGCCCAACTTAATACTTTTAGTGATGCGGTGGAGAAAGCTCAACGAGTTGAAGGCGCGAGGTTACAAGTTAAGAATTTTCAAGCCAAGAAAAGGGGTTTTCCAGGAAGCAGTTCGGAGCAAGGAGATAAAAGCACGCCTCCTAAGATTGGAAGGGGCAACGGGGGAGTACAACTACCAGAGATGTCTAGTGGTGCCTCACAGAGAGGCTCAGTTTCTGCTTCCCGCGGTCCTTGTGGATACTGTGGGAAACCGAATCACACGGAGGATGTTTGCTGGAAGAAAGGAAGAAAATGTCTGCGTTGTGGGAGCGCAGATCATCAAATCGCAAATTGCCCAGGCCGCTCTCGAGAAGGAAATAGGAGTCAACAGCCACCCACGACCAACCTTGACCAGTCAAAGGGGAAAAAGAATGGACCAAATGTGTCGGCTCAGGTGTATGCCCTAGGGCAGCATCAAGTCTCGGACCCGTTGAAGACGTGGAAGGTAAGATTCTGGTATTCTACCGATTGCCACCGATTGCCTACTAGCATGGAGTAGAAGAATTATAACTTAGGAAGGAAGAAGCAACTGTGGTATATTGGCCAGTGAATGGATACGGATTGGTTAGTTAAGGATACGGATTGGTTAGTTAAGTATAGTATTGGAGAAGGCAATGATAAGGAATTTCGAGAACGAAATTCTTTTAAGGGGGAGAGAGTGTGAGAACCCTAAATTTTCATTTTTTTTCTCCGCATTTATTGATGCTTATTTTTCCTTTTGAAAATCAAAAGAATTTGTTACCTTATACTAAGGAGGGTTTCATTTCATATATGTGAACATGTGTTGGTGTGTATTAAGTATTTGTGCATGAGTTTTGGAATATATATTCATCGGATGGAACTTGGAAAAAAAAAAAGAAAAAAGTTTTCGAAAGAACTAAAGGACCGAATCCGGCCGGAAATCCGGCCAGTTCTTGGCCGGATTGATGGCCGGATTGCTTGACGTTTTTGAAAAATATTTGGTTTAGCTACTGCCTCATATCCGGCCTGGAATCCGGCCGGATTCTGATGAGACAGCAGCTTTGACCGGCGATTTTTCTTCCTTCTTATCTTGTTTTGGGTCACAAATATCTTCATTTCTTCCTTGCTCAACCGTGGCTTTTGAGAGAAAAGACCAAGCAAAGCTCTCTTTTCCTAACTTCAAATTTGGCTTCAATCTTGAGATTTCACCATTTGATTTCTAATTCCTTCCATACAAGTGCTAGCTAGGAGGGGTTTAAGGGATTGGCGGAGTGAGTTTTGGAGTTGGAGCTCTAAGCTATCATTTCTCCTTAAGTTTCAAGGTAAACTATCTAGAAATTTCCTTGTACTTCTTATGCTTGCAAAGTAGTGGATTAGAGATGTTACATGTGTAGTTTTGTAGCTTAATTTATGGGTTGAGTAGAGGTATCGTGAATTTCTGTTTTATAGCAAAATTTCTGTCCTCAAATGGTGATTAATGTTTGGGCATGATTTGGTAGTTGATAAGAGCAATTTTGAGCTTGAGAATGTTAGTGTTGCTTGTCTTCAAAGAATTTCAGCTTTTGTAGCAAAATTTCCAGTTTTAGGGTTTATAGTTTTGTCTTTTACTTGGTTGCACTTGAAGGATCTTGTGGTCTTAATTAAAGGTATTTTATAGCTTGTTATTTGTGGGGGAAAATTGTGGTGAATTGAGGAGTGAGTTGGTATTGAGGTTTGGTTGGAAAAGTAAGGAAAAACTAAAGGAAGTGCTGTCAAAATTTTCGTAAGAGCTCCTGCGCAGTCTTAGGAAGTGCTATATCTTGATGTAGGAGTATCGGAATTGAGTTCCGTTTGTTGCGTTTTAACCTAGACTCATAGGGCTATAAACCGTGTAAGTTTCAGATGCTGTTTCTATCTGTGTAATTTATAGTGATTTTTCAAAGTTAACTGGAAATTGTATACCTGTTCTGTCTTGTGATGGTGAGCAGTACCTTGCGACTTAAATTTGACCGACTTGCGTTCTGATTCTTAAGATGGTGTTTTCTGGAAAGTTATAACCCTTTGAATGTAGTTTCCAACGGTGTAAATTTTATCAATTTTGGACTTACAAAACTTGAGATACGATTTTTTTTATAGGGTTGTGCAAAACTGGAAAATCCTGTTTTCCGAGTAATGATCGTACATTTATTTTCTACTTCAAATTTGGAGTTGGTTACCTATGATAGGTAGGGTATTGAGGTTGTTCATGCCTTTAAGACCGATTGTTACTCCTTTTCACTCCGAAGTCGCATTGTCTTTGCATTAATGGTTCATGTGGATAGGCACGGGACTTGTAACCGAGTTTACTTGCAAATTTCATTGATTCAATTTTAATGTCAAGTCTTAAGTGTTTGCCTTGCTTGTTCTAGGAGGGGCCAGCGAGTAAAACCACATTTGGCAAGGAACCTTTTGAAACTATTCTTGTTTGATCTGGTGAGTGTACCACCCCCTTGTATTGTTGCTACTTGAGTTATCTGTACTTGAAATCTATGACATGAATGACTATGAATCCTGTTTAGTGTGATTGAGACGGGGGTGTACTTTATCACACTCGTTCTCTTGCCTGTGTGGTACAAACTGCAATCTATCACTTGTACTTGTTACGAACTTGAGCCTGTTACCTGCACTTGTTATAATGTCGTTTGGATGTGTCCAACGACCTCCTTGTTACATGTTATAATGTCGTTTGGATGTGTCCAACGACCTCCTTGTTAAACCTGAACTCAACCTCATGGGGAGTTAATTAAATCGAGCCATGCAAGGGCTTGGTCGAGGAAATTGACAATCCATGGGTGCCTGTTTTATGGAATCTTTGAGTATTGAGACTCTTGATTCCGGTATACTCGAGTATTACCATTCCTGTTTTTATTTGGCGTTCGGGCCCGGTAAGGGGTATGAATGGTGAACGGGATTCGGCGTTTAAGTGGTGTTCTACTGGACTGCTTATTCTTTATTTGGAAGTTGACGGAGGGTCAACATAGTCGGATCAAGTACTGCAACGGAAAAATTGGCTCCTGAGAGCCATCTGTATCCTTTCTATTTAAGCTGTTTACTTATCTCCTTATTTGGTATACTTAGGTGATTAATTGAGCATGAAGTGCCTTGGTTCTTGATTGTTATTGATTTTGGTACCTCATTGGGCTTATAGCTCACCCCGTTTTGTTATCCTTGTTTTCCTTACAGGAAAATCTTTTGGAAGCATGAGTTGAGCTGGATATATATATTCTTTTGTATAGCTCCTCAATAGATGGAAACCTTGAATGTATTTTGAAAACAACTCCCTTTTGATTTGTAAAATTGTGATCATGTATATATATAAAAGTGTTTGCTCATGTACACATGTTACCCTTTCCAACGTGTTCATTCGTTATGGTTGCCTGGAGTTATTGAAATTACTGAGGTTTTGGACGAGTATAGTATTCAAGCATGAAAAGGAAAGAGAAACAAAAGTGGCAGGGTTTTTTGACAATCTTTTGGCTTGGTAAGTTATTATTTAACTTGGTGGCTTCCGAATTGTTCGCTTCCTTTGATTTCTGTCACGCGTACTTTAGAGTTGTGAGTGTAGTGATCGACTGAGTCCCGGCGAGAGTTGGGCAGGCGGCCCGCCGAACCCTCTGGTTCGCCTTAGGGGGAGGTGGGGCCGTTACACTTCTGCTGCTGCCCAGACACAATGAACCTACATGAAAAATCATCTGTAAATAGTGAAGAGCTCAACCAGGAAGCCAAAGAACAACATGGAAATCCAACATAAGGACCAAAAAGTACAACCAAACTTTTAAGTGTTGCTTTCATCTCAATCTTTTTGCGAACTTTTCAGAAAGCACTCACAGGTTATATTACAGTATTTGGAGTTAAATTTGCAAAAAATGTGTAATTCAGAATGGCACGACTAAAAGAAAGGTCTAAATATTACATTGACAAGACCTTTTTATTATGGGAAAAAATGCTACCACATTCATAACAGCTACAATTGGGTTTTTCTCAGTCATGAGCAGCAAACTAGTAACAAACAAAAAGATAAAAGAATTCCTCTTTTACTAGACCAAATTAAGCATACATACCACATAGAACGCAACCAACAAAACTAGTAAAAATATAGCAATGACAGATGCTTCAACAAGTAAAACCAAAGACCTTCTCTAATCAGATGTAAAATTTTCTGATGTACTAGGCAACTGAAATTTGAGCGAATGAGTAAGAACATCAAAAGCTCCTAAAAGAGAAATTCCAGGCATTTTGCATACTGCTGGACCAAGTACAAGCATTAGTGGCACCTGTAACAGCAAAAGAGAACGTTGCTCAACATAGTGGAAGCCAAGAGAGAATAGTATTAAGCTTACATATTTCAAATTAATCTCACCATGACACCTGAAAAATATACTAATGTAACTATGTAAAGGATGCTAAAGGAGCTTGCATCAGAAAGTGGCAAAAAGCATGCCTGCAATTGCAAACAAGATAGATTGGATATGAGTAGCCACTCCACTAGAGAGAACTATATGTATAAAGTTAAAGCATCAAATTTCAAGTTTGGTTACTTCTTTTGCCTTGAAACTACTTAGATAGATTCCAAGCAAATCATGAACTCGCAACTAGAATTCGACAGACAGAAGAGACTCACGGATCAAGCAGACTTAGACTACGCCCACTCCAACCCTTAGTTGGGCTGGAGGCTACTAATGCTATAAGTACAGTCACCATGGCACAGCAAATTACCCTGAAATTTGAATGACAAGTAATTAAGTCAACCAAAAAATTTTTATGAAACTCTTAGCTACTACTTACACAATATAACAAGCAAATTTCTTTACAAACTACAAGTAAAGGCACTTACAGGCCAACTGAAAACACAAGCGTAACAGCCACTTTTAACATTCTTAGTGACAGAATCCCTTTAATATAGTAAACAAGAGCTACAACATGAATAATAATAAACACCTGTACATGCCCAAGAATGGAAAAGTAAAATTAGAGATTAAGAGCAACATAAGGCATAAATTTAAAAAGATTGAGAAGCATAAAAAAAGTAAAAGCGAATCCCTGACTACAGTAATAGCGAATGAGAAAGCAAGAATGGCAGAAAAACCAGCCAGTTGGAACTAACCAAAAATGAAGCAAAATGCTCGGATGCCATGACCGGATTAAAGCCCAGAACAGGGACCAAAGCAGCCAACAATGTTCCCAAGACAACTTATATTTGAAATTACAAAGACATTAGTACAAGGATGAGTAGAATAACAGCGTTAAAGAGGCATATTTATCTTAAAGACATTACTAATTCAATATAAATCAAAACAGATTTGGACAATACTACAACCAGACATAAAAACCGATAATACAGCCCAAACCAAAACCATAGAAACAACTAAAAAGCTGGAGATTGATGCCAAGGGTAAAAATAAAGACATAAAATAATAGGTCACTTACCATAAGAAATTGTGGATTCAACATATCTGGAGTTCAATTCAAACTCCTCTGCCACTTCAAATACGCTAACAAACATGTTTCAAGAGCAAATTACCAACTGTGGTAGCAATCACAATGGTCAAACAAACTAGAGAACGGATAATCCATAAGTCCAGCAATTGAAAAGAAATATGGCTCGCTATGGCTCTAAAACCCTGGTAAGGACGATGATCAATGCAATAAAGGTAAACAGCAAAAGAGAGATAACAAAAATTTCGAAGGTAAAATCCTTCAATGTCTTAGTAATTCAATTTCATCTCCTAACGGCAATTAGAGTTTTCCGCTGGTAGATGAATATATCAAAACTGCCTTTGACATTGACAATTTCCACTTTGGAGTGCATAAAATTAAAACGCAGATACAGGTACATCAGATTTCATAAATCTAGCACTTCGACTCACTTACTAAACCAATAACCAAAACAATTAAAAAAAACTCCAAATCGACTATACTAATAATATTTCTTAAGCAGTAGACCAGTCGCACATTTAACATTTTTCCTCCGAGAGAGAGAGAGAGAAGGTCCTTTCCATAATCGATATTAAATTATTCATCCACATCACCTACCTACTATGTGCGTACAATAATTCCCCATCCAGACACATAACAGAATATACCTGCTTGAGTTCAGGCCTAGACAAATTGGACATGGCGAAAATTTTCATAGCATCATTGCCAGTCAAGCGGCTATCGCCGTCTGCACAAAAGGAAAAGTAGAATGCTAAGTAAATAAATCTATAAGAAAGAAAGAAAAGAAAAATAAAAAGAAAGAAAGAAAGAACATAGTTAACGATTAATTGGAAGGGAAGAACAGCAACTGAATTAATTTGAACGAAAAAGTTATGACCAAAAAAAGAAGGAAAACCTGAGTCGGCGAAGTTGAACCAATACTCAAGATTTAAGTGGAAAATTTGACCCATAAACTCAAGATTCAGTCTATCCGACCTACATTTGACAAAAAAATATCGAAATTAGATGGAAAATATTGAGATTACATACCTCAAATTATGCCTTCACTCCCTTAGCTCTTGTTTTCCTTAAGATTCAGTCTTCGAACTCTGGCTTTCCCCCAAAATTCACGGCCAATTTTCTGTGTTCTTGCCAGCAAGCAAGTGCAGCACCAATCTAGGGATTTTTGCTATTTGCGAGGTCACTAAAGTTGCCCAAATCCTTTGGGTAGCTCAAATTAGGGATGAAAAAGGTGATTTAAAGTGATTTTGTGGATAATTTCAGCAAGATGACAGTAAAGCATAAGAAGAAATGGAGAAGATGATAATGTCCGAAACTTTCAACGAGAGAGAGAAAATGCGGTACGAAAATTTTCAACGAGAAAGAAGAAATGATAAGTGTTGTGAGTGTTTTAGTTTAACTCTTGCCAAAACGACGTCGTTTCTATCTCATTTTGTTCACCCCGCCTCTACACCTTGAATTTTCAGCTTCCCGCTTCCATTTTAACTTAGCACAAAAAGTAACGCTTTCATTCTTTTTTGTACAAACTATTTGAACCTTTCTTTATAAAAATAACGCCTTCTCTAATATCTCTTTTTTTTTTCCCATCTATGTGTAATTAAGATTGTTTATTATTTTGAACTTTTTTAACTCACAAGTTGTATTAAAACTTTATTTGTAATATTAAAACTTTAGAATATGAAATTTTAATATTTTTGGATTTTTTTTACTAACATAGGATTTTTTTTGGATCTCTATGACAAAATAATGTTCAAAAACTAAAAATTTTATTGAATAGGATTTTCTTAAAAATTTTATTAATGTTCAAAATAATGTTTATTGAATTTTTTTCTTTTTTTTATTAACATAGGTTTTTTACTAAATTTTGAAAATTTATTTTTACCGAGCAGCTCAGCAAAGGTCGAAAACTTGAATCAAAGCATCTCGACATTAGGATCTCTACCAAAAATAATGTTCAAAAACTAAAAGGCTTATTACAAATATGTTTATGATTCAAAAAAAGATCTTTAAAGGCAAATATTTTTGTTATCAATTTAATAATGTTATCAATTATGCACGAAGTGTGGTCTGACAAGACCAAGCAATCTGTTTAGTTGATCAAATAACCAAAATGGTTTACTAATACATATATGAAACACTAAATCTATTTGATACAAGTACTGATTCATTAACCATAGATCCAATTTGATTATTGTAAATTGTAATACATAACAAACTCCAGTCATGCAATTGTCAAGATTTCTACTTAATTTCATATTAAATTTTATTATTCTCTCCGCTTATTATTTTCACATTATGTTAATCAGTAATATCCTATATATTGTCAAGAGAACTAAATAATGAATTCATAATATTTTTTAAATTTATAACTAGCTATTAGTTAAGTTTGGAATAATTAAAAAATAGGTAAACATCTTTTTTTACAATACCTTCCTCATTTTGCTAATGATGAACATAACCTAATGTGTAAAAGCATAGGGTGCCATAATAGAATTAATACAACCTTTCTTTATCGCATACGAGGCTAAATTGCAAAAGACATTAGTGTCATGGTAGAGTTAATGAGATTAGTTTACCAAATATGGGCCTAAAATATAAAAGTTCAGTGAAATAACATAATTAATTAAATTTATTTACAACACATGGGCCATAGCAAAAAATTAATGTGGTATATGGGGCTAAAATGTAAAATTTAGGGTGTCATAGTAGAATTAATAAAATTTATTTATAACACATGGGCCATATTGAAAAAATTAAGGTGGTATATGGGGTCAAAAAGCAAAAGTTAGGGTGCCATAATAGAATTAATAAAATTTATTTACAACATATGGGCCATATTGAAAATATTAGGGTGACATAGTAGAATTAGTGAAAGTGGGATGAGAATAAACGCTTTGTACAGTGACGACTACTTGTTGTCACTAATTTAGAACGTATCACCATACTGTGACGATATTAAAAAGTTGTCACTGAAATTGGTCCTACAGTGACAACGTCTTTTCCAGTCGTCACAATGGTGATCTCCCGCCAGACTGCATAGTTGCGCGCCATCCATACTGTGACGACTTATCCCTTGTTGTCACTGTTGACGGGTGAACCCACGATCAAGCATGACGACTTTTAGTGTCGTCACTAAAGTCTTCAATTGTGACAAGTTTCTATGTTGTCACAGAGAATGTTGTCACAAAAGGCCAAATTTCTTGTAGTGAATCCCTGTAAGTAATATATGATTTTGGAGGCATATCCGGACCCGTGGTGATAACCAGAATTAAACCCATCCAAACTTTTATTTTGTTTTTTAAAACAACACTTCCTCAAATAGCTCTGATGGTGGTAATTGGAATTGGTATATGGACTTTGCTGGAAACAAAAAGTTATTGGGGAAATACCATGCATTAACTCTTTCATGGTTATGGAAACAAAAAGTTATTGGGGAAATACCATGCATTAACTTTTTCATGGTTATTGAGCTAGCTCAATTGGCTACTAGAGGAGGGCTCAGTTGGCTACTAAAGGAGGGACTCCTAGGTGCAAGTCAGGGAATCGAACCTTCCTGATTGTGTTTCCTCTCCAAAATTTTTTGGACCATAATCGAAGGTTATTTAACTTCCTTTGAGCTTCCCAATAGTTTAGATAGGTCCATCTTCCTCCCCTTTACTCCAGCAAAGGACCAATTGTAACAATACTATACTAAAAAGAGAAAAAACTTCTTCATGGTTGCCACATAAGCACCCCATGGATTAAACCGAAAAAAATAGAAATGTTAGAAACAGTTCCTTTTTTTTCTTTTAAATACATCTTTTCACTTAGAATTTGTATAGTTTGTGAAGGCTATTATAGTCTTCTCTTAATATTAAGGGAGGTAAGTGTAACTTTTCAAACCTTAGGGGAGGAGGCCGCAATTGTCAGAAATCTTAAGGGAGAATTATGAATTTATCCCTAAAAATAAAAGCAAAAAGAAACTCATTTGTTTGTCCTGTATTGTTTTTAGAAATTTTCTTCGCAAATTTTTTTTCTTACATTGTTCATAATTCATAATACTTTTATGGTTTTAATATTTAGTAATCGATGATTTTCATCAAAAAAATATTGACTTTTCACATAAAAAGATGGTTGAATTATGAGAAGTAGAGCAATTAGAACTGAGACTTACTAAGTAGCCGGAGACACGTATCGGAAAATGTTCCATTTTGCGTCAAAGGCGAGTGTCTCAAAGATGAAAGTGAATTGCAAAAGTGGAGAAGTTGAACACTTTTATTACTTATATTGATGCTAGATATATGGTTCTAAGTGTGTTAATTGATAGATAAGTTGTTAATAGTTGTTAGTTATATTGATTATACTTGCATATTTGAACCAAAAAACATGTATGAAATTGGACATATGCAATTTGAGTATAATTAACTTTCCTTTATTTGGTATGATGAAGTACTTGGTTGGGTTTTAACATGAACATGGTGGCTACTCATTTGTTTTAAGTTGCAAGTTCTTTGTGTTTGTGTTATGGTTGGGATATCATTAGAGTTAATTGCTCGAGACCAATGAATAATTCAAATGTGGGAGAATGATTAAGTGTCAAATGTGAACGTCTTTGAATGACTATTTATGTCCATTTGTTGACTCTTTTATGTATTAAAGTCTTGTATTTTTTAGGGTTTTTATAAGAGTTTTATGCTTAATTGTGGTTTGAAAAGAATGGCAAACTATTGATCAAGTTGGTGTTAATTGCTTGGTTTTTGTAAGGTTTAAAGATATAGTGGATGTGTGTTCGAGTTGCAGAATCACAAGACAGTAGTTTGAATGAAAACTAAGAAGAAAAGCGCGAAAAGGTTCAAAGCACCTTCCAACCGTCTCTAGATCAATTTAAGGACCCTAGAACCGGTTGGTTTAAACGGAAACATTCAGCAGTTGACTTCCAGCCAGTTCAGTGCCGAATTAAGACCCCAAAACCGGTTGCATAAGCTAGTTGTGCAAGGCAGACACAAATTTCTCGCAGCTAGGGACTTTGTTTCCTGTTTTATAACGGATTTTGCTTACCCATAAAATAGACACAATGAGGATGACTTCGCATACATTATTAGGAATAGTTTTAACTTCTAAAGCACTTAATTCTTCTTAGTTTTTGGCTTATAATGTCGAGATTTCAAGAAGAATGAAAGAGCTCTTCACCAAATCTAGACATAAGTGTCTCTACCCATTTCTCTCTTTAATATTATATTCAATTTTATGTTTCTTTTATCAAGTTTATTGTGTTCTTAGTTTTCTTTAAGTCTAGCTAATTAATTAACTTGTTTAGGATGGAATCAGTTACTCCATAGTTTATGACTAATATTGGTTCATTGTTTGTTATTGTCCACACGCTATCTTACGCCTTTGAATTTCATTTTCGCGATAAAAAGGATATTGATTGTAAAGCATCTACGGTGTTGATTAGCGAACAAAGAGTTATTAATTGATACTAATGGGTCGAAGACATGAACTCTAATGTGTAACTCAAGAAGACAGAGAAGCACTTAAAGGGTAAACCATACAGTCTCAAACTCTTCATAAATATTTAATTTGCCTAAAATACCGAAAGTAGGTTTAGACTAGATATAGTTAATACACTAACAAAAGCAGATATTATGACATTAAGTGGGATTTCTTAGTTCACACAAAAGTAAATAAATTGACAAAGATGGGATTTATAATTAGGCAAGAATCCTTAATTATCGGCAATTTTTGTAATAATTAATGTTTGCTGTCTTTTAGTAGTTTTCTTAATTTTCTGAATTTTTATGATAATTTGTGGTCTAAATAATGAGTTACTTAAAACGTCTTTAAACTTGACTAGCTTTTCTCATGGGATCCGCACTTGTATACTCTTCATACTAGCCTGCAGTCTGTGTACTGTTAGATCCTTAATCTAACATTGGTGATCCACGAATTTCTGCAAGAGCACCGGGCCGATTGTAGTAATAAATTACCTAGAATATTTCACTGTCCAACCCACAGGGACGAGTTAATTTTTTACTTTAATTATTCTAATAAAATTAACAAAATTTAACCTTAGAGCGTGTTTCAATCACTACTTGAGAAATTAAATAAATACTCAAATCAACTAAGATATAGATGACAAAACAATTGGCAAAAAACTAAGATTTCAAATTTTGATCTAGAGTTTGAGTTAATTATCTAGTTAATTTCTTAACATGCCAAGAACATACCACACGCAAGTACCTTAGATTATCTTTCAATACATCTAAATTATGCTTAATTAAATCTCACGTCTCGCTAGAGATCATAAGTATTTAATTAAACCATTTCAAATTTTAGGTGATATAATTACATCATACAAACCCTAATCTACTCTCCTGATTAGGTTAA